GCCGAGCCAGCCCGGAGCCTAGCAGCCAGGCTGCAGCCCGGGCGCAGCCGAGAAACGCCCCGCGGCGGCTAGGCTGAGCTTGCCGGGCCGGCTTCCTCCCGGACGCTCCCGAGCAGCGCCGGGAGAGTGGGGTGGGAAGGCACCGGAACTGGACTGTGAGAACCCTGCGAGGTCCCCCAATAGCCAGACCCCGGGCGACCGCAGGGTTCCAGAGGCTGGGATAGAATGCAGCAGCTTATTTAAGGGTAAAGGCGGAGGAGAGAGGTGGCGAAGCAGCTGCACCTCACTGCGCATGTGCGAGATTTCCAAAAAAAAAATTTTTTTTTTTTAACTTTTGCGGTTCTGAGTAGTCCCAAGTCAAAATGTCTTGTGCAGTGATTATTTCAGAAACTAATTAGCTATGTGCGCTGACTCCTGAAAGTCACTGCAAAAGTACAGGAAAGGTTTGCGAGTTTCTGAAACCTCTGAAGTAAAAATAGCGCCTCTTGTTTATCAACTCTTCAGGTCCATTCCTCTAAAAGAGATGGGCAGAGCGGACATTGAACACCGCTGAAAAGTAGGGTGAATTGAAGGACCCCTGAAGCACTACATATTATTCCTACAGAGGACATGCTTGCGCTATCATGAATTATTGTTTCAGAAGTAAGATGAATATTCTAAACTGAATTATTTAAATTTACTTCCTATTTCACTGTTAACCCATATTTAAGTTTATACGGAAGAGCAGTGTTCTCATACAAATAACACAAAAGATAGTTCACATGAAGAAAATATGATTACCTTTCCCATTGATGAGAAAAAAATGTAGTCTTAACTGTAAAGGAATGCTTTTCTGTTCTGGAAGCCTTGTTCTCCGGGTAAAACAATATGGAACTGCTTATCGTTTTATTTACAAAGCAAGGGTAAAAAGTTTCCAAATAATTTCAGCATTTTTATGGACATATCCCAAAGAGAAACAGTTGATGAAATCTTGGTGTTACCAAGGATGTGTGATGCCCAGCATGGAGAGACTTCTCCTAACCCAACAGGATAGAAAGCATTGGGTTTTTATTTAAATGTGATGCTACAAATGTAGGGCAGAAGCTCCAGGAGAGAGCCAAGTAACTGGCACCACTGCATCTGGGAAGGGCACCCCCAGACCCATGGCAGACCAAGATAACACAGTAAACTTGGAGCTTTAGTTCCACCTTTGAGTTCAGAAAGACTACATGTACTATGGTAAGGTGCCTGAAAATGCGTTCCCTAAACCTAGCTTAAAGGTCACCCAGATTATCCAGGGTGGGGTTACTTTGTTGCAATGGGTTTCCTACAAATGTGTGCTCGGAAGTGGTGGAGGCACACTAGCAAATGAATTTTTGGATCAGAATGATCATTTGGTAAAAACTAAGCAGGTTCCATTGAATCTGGTAGCCTCTTTCTCCTCAGGAGGGGGGGGGAAGATGAGTTTGAAGAAAACCCAAGTGAAAATACTTTAAGAAAATTGTCACGAGGAGTAGATGGAAACAGCT